TCCAGACCTCACTCCCCTCACATCCACCCTGCTCTCTTTGGCATTCTGATTCTCTCAGAGACAGAAGCTGTGACATGGCCACAGTTCTGGGGGAAGATTTAAAGTATTAAGCCATGCAAGTATCCTTGGGATCTGAAGCATTTGAGGCCTGTCTTCAAAATGGCAGGGGTTCAGGGGCCTGACCAGCCCATCTTTATAGACCAACAGTGCTCCCGTGCTCTTTGCTCTCACAAGCCCTTCTTCCTTGTTGGTTGGAACTAGGTCACAGGCATGTTGAGTTTAGTCATTTTCCCTGCCTTCTGGGGGAGGATTTTAGCAAAAGCCCCTCTACCTCTTCTGGTCTTATAACCTCTAGTAAACTCCAAGTTCCAGCACCCAGAAACTTTTTGAGAGACCAAAGCAACACTCTCTCCATTGGCCCCTAGCCTCACATGCAGGACAAGCCGCCCCTACATATTTCTCTGTGCTTCCATCATAATATCTACGTAAGATATCTTGTTTCCTCACCAGGTCAGCAGAGAGACCTGAGAATCAGAGAGACTATGTCATTTACAAGCAGAAGAAATTGAGATCTCATTATAAATTGGGGAAGGTTTTGTCACCTACTTTTTTTTTTTTTGGTACTCAGAATTGAACCAAGGTATGCTTAACCACTGAGCCACATCCCAGTTCTTTTTATTTTTTATTTTAAGACAAGGTCTTACTCATTTGTTTAGGGCCTTGATAAATTGCTAAGCAATTTAGCTTTGAACTTGAAATCCTCCTGCCTCAGCCTCCCAAGTTGCTGAGATTACAGGTGTGTGCCACTGCACGCAGCTATCAACTACTTTTTACCCTTGCAACTCTCTAAATGGAGATGGGGAGTCTGAGGCAGGAAGGTGAGTGAGATTCGCCACAATTGGAGGAGGTCACTGTAAAGAAACCAGGAACTTCCTTTCCAGTATGACAGCAGAGCATTGCCCACCCTTTAACTGCCAACTCTGAGCATCTATAGCAGCTTCAAATTCATCTGTTCTCTGCATCCTACAAAATAAGTGGCTATTGAACTATTAGAAATATATCATCTCATGGGCTAGAATGCAGCGCAGTAGTAGAGCACTTGTCTAGCATGCACAAGGCCCTGGATTGAATATATATACACAAACATAATAGATAAATAAAGATATAAATTAAGGGGCTGGGGATGTGGCTCAAGTGGTAGTGCACTCGCCTGGCATGCGTGCGGCCCGGGTTTGATCCTCAGCACCACATACAAACAAAGATGTTGTGTCCGCCGAAAACTAAAAAATAAATATTAAAAATTTTTAAAAAAGATATAAATTAAAAACTCAATATTGGGCTGGGGCTGAAGCTCAGTGGTAGAACGCCTGCCTCATGTGTTTGAGGCACAGGGTTCAATCCTCAGCACCACATAGAAACAAATAAATAAAGATATTGTGTCCGTCTACAACTAAAAAAAATTTTTTTAAACTGAATATTAATGCATGGGCTGGGCATGGTGGCACATGCCTTGTAATCACAGTGGTTTGGGAGACTGAGACAGAAGGATCATAAAGTTCAAATCCAGCCTCAGCAACTTAGTGAGGCCCTAAGCAACTTAGTGAGACCCATGTCTCAAAATTTAAAAATTGGCAGGGGTGGGAGGAGTTGGAGATGCTCAGTGGTTAAGCAGCCTTGGGTTCAAAACCTGGTACCCAAAAAAAAAAAAAAAGAATGCTAGAGAACATTTTTGTTTGTTTTTTGTTTTATTAAGGATTGAACCCAGGGTTGCTCTGCCACTAAGCTAACATCCCCAGCCCTTTTTATTTTTACAGGATCTCGCTGGCCTTGAGCTTGCTATCCTCCTGTTTTCAACCTACTGAGTGGCTGGGATTGCAGGCATGTTCCACTGTACCCCCACCTAGAGAATAGAGTTTTAATTCTAATTTATAGCTTAGTCATGCCTTATTGCAGAACAGACATCCTCAGTTTGGTTATGAAAATGATAACTTGAGGTATTTGAAGAAATTCCAGACAAATTAGCAGCTCATTTTTTTCCCTTCTAAAAATTAGCCCTTGTTAAGATTTGCTTGGCATACTAAAGGAAGTAGTCCAAAAATCATTTTTGTTCTTTCTTAAAAATGCATGATTAGGGGCTGGGGTTGTATTGTGGCTCAGTGGTAGAGTGCTCACCTAGCATGCTTGAGGCACTGAGTTCAATCCTCAGCACCCCATAAATGTAAAATAAAGATATTGTGTCCACTTAAAACTAAAAAATAAATATTTTTAAAAATGCATGATTATTTATTCAGAAATATTTCTTGAGCTGGTAAAAATAAATTAATAAATAAACATTCAAAACTTTAAAGTTTAACCCAGCACAGTGGTACACACAGTGGTCCCAGCTACTCAGGAGGCTGAGGTAAGAGGTTCACTTGAATCCATTTTCTTTTTCCTTGTTACTGGCAATCAAACCTGAAGCCTAAAGCATGCTAGACAAGCACCCAGTCACTGGGTACGTCCCCAGCCCTTACACATTATAGTTTTAAATTCTACTAAATAAAAACTCATGCTAGATATTGGGTTTCTAAATGTGCAAAAGGCCTTCAACTGATACCTTTATATCTACAGTAAGCTTCCAAAAATTTCATCTAGTCATCTTTCAGTATCTGCAGAGAATTGGTTCTAAGACTACACACACATGCACACATGCACACACATAAAAATACCAAGCTCCTTGGTTTCCCAAATCCCTTCAAAATGGCATAGCCAGGACTGGGATTGTGGCTCAGTGGTAGAGCACTTGCCTAACATGTGTGAGGCACTGGGTTCGATCCTCAGCACACATAAAAATAAATAAATAAAATAAAGGTATTTTTTTTAATGGTATAACCAAATGCTGTGGCCCATGCCTATAATCCAAGCAACTCAGGAGGCTGAGGCAGGAGGATCACAAGTTGTGAGTCCAGCCTCAGCAATTTAGCAAGGCCCTAAACAACTTAGCAAGACCCTGTCTGCAAAAATATAAAGGGCTGGGGATGCGGTTCAAAGTAAAAATAAGCCAGGCTCAGCAGCACACAGTGGTGATCCCAGCACATTGGGAGGCTGAAGCTAGAGGAGTCAAAGTTTGAGGCCAGCCTCAGCAGCTTAGTGAGACCTTATCTCAAAGAGGGCTAAGGGCTGGGGCTGTAACTCAGCAGTAGAGTGCTTGCCCACATGTGTAAGGCACTGGGTTCGATCCTCAGCACCACATAAAAATAAATAAATATATTTTTTTAAAAAAGAGGGCTGTGTGTGTGTGTGTGTGTGTGTGTGTGTTTTAAGGTACCAGGAACACTAAACCATTAAGCCATATCCCTGGCCCTTTTTATTTTTTATTTTGAGACATTGCTTAGAGCCTCACTAAATTGCTAAGGCTGGCCTCAAACTTGCAATCCTCCTGTCTCTGCCTCCCAAACCACTGAGATTATAGGAGTATAGCTCCACACCTGGTTTCCTATATATTTTAAGTCATCTTTAGATTACTTACTAATGTAAATACTGTGTTCACAGTTCTTATGCTGTTTTATTTAGGAAATAATGACAAGTAGAGCATGTTTACACATACTGTAATCCCAGCTACTTGGAAAACTGAAGCAGGAGGATCTCAAGTTTGAGGCCAGCCTCACCAATTTAGAGACCCTATCTCAAAATAAAGAGTTGAAAGGGCTGGGAGCTGGGCACGGTGGTACAGGCCTGTAATCCCTATGATTTGGGAGACTAAAGCAGGAGGATCACAAGTTCAAAACCAGCTTCAGCAATTTAGCAAGACTTGTCTCAAAATAAAAAGGGCTAAGGATGTAGATCAGTGGTGGAGTACCTATAAGTTCAATCCCGATATCAAAGGAGGGAAAATGGAAATAATGACAAGAAGAAAATTTAGATACACGTTCAGTTACAGACATTTTTCCAAATATTTTCATGGTTGGTTTAATCCTCACATATTAATCCTCACAACTACATATTTTCAGCTCTGTCATTCACATTTCAAATATGTTTAAGAATTGTTCAGGACTTTGTTTTGGGTATCAAAAAAAATTAGCTCTGTGTAACATTTTCATAGTTAATATAATTGCTAAGCTAAAAGAAGGTCAATAGAGAGAGAAGATTCAAAGGAGGGGAGCTGAAAACAGCAGCTGTCTTATGAAGTAGGGAAAAAGAAAAGCTTGAGAGTCTTCTGGCTGGAGGTGCAGCTCCCAGGGAACACAGTTGGTATAGCTGCAAATAAATCCTAAAACAGGAAGTAAAGGGCTAGGAATATAGATCAGTGGTAGAGCACTTTCCTAGCATGGATGAGGATTTGAGTTCAACTCTCAACACTGCAATATGAATAAATAGGGACCAAAACAAGTTTGTTACACATGAAGGAGAGTATTAGTAGTGTTCTGGTGAGTTCCCGTCCTCAGCCAGAACCATCAGTTTAGAGGGTTATGATCAAGGCTATCACCACAGCTGCAGAATATCATTCATGTATCAATTTGCAAATTATAGCAAACAGCTACTGAGTTAGGCACTGGACACAAGGCAGTGAACAAAGCAAGTCCTGCTTCAAGAATTGTGCATGCTTTAAGGAGAACCACAGCAGGTGGAAAGAGGAAGGCTGTTGGAAGGAGAAGTTCTACTAGAGTCTAGGGGGGCTGTGCCAGGTCCAAGCCTACAAGCATTATGATGGCTGGGGGCACTAAAGAGCATCTGCAGCCAGCACAGTCCCTGGACTCTGACCCCCGAAAGGCATATCCCCATTTATCTCAGTGTGATCCTGTACGCCCATCTCTGGGGCAAAGGGATTCAAGAGAAAAGAAAAGAAGTAAAGATAGGATAGACGGGGAAGAACAAAGAAATGTGTTGTCAAAAGGGATAGTGCGCCTTCTACAAATCAGTCCCTGCATATGCTTGCTAAGGTTATGAAGGGCCTGCTGTGTGTGGTCCAAGAAGAGGGAATTATAAAAGGACATAAAGCTGCTGCCTCTCATTTTCCCCAGGAACTAGTTCGACAGCGAGGAGTCCTAGAACACACAGAAAAGATGGTGGACAAAATGGATCAAGATTTGAAGACTAGCCAGAAACACATCAACAGCATTAAGAGTGTGTTTGGGGGGCTTGTCAATTACTTCAAAGCCAAACCAACAGAGACCCCATCTGAACAGAATGGTACTCTTGCTCCCCAGCAGAACAGCAGGTAAGAAAAGCTTACAGATATAAAGTAGCAGAAGTAGGTTTACTCCCAATAGTGAAGACTTTCAGGTCTTGTCAGTACCTTCAAGGGATCCAGGAAGCCTATAAGTTACTCATGAGGAGGGATTATTGAAACAAATCTTTCTCCTCTGCTAAGGACGTTCATTTGATTGGCATGTAGTCTGTAAATTCTGCCTACATTGAATCTCCATTAAGTTACTACTTCCTCATGACCCTAATACTTGGCTATTTTCTTTTCTTTTGCTGTACTGAGAATTAAATCCAGGGGTACTCTAGCTCTGAGCTATATCCCCAGCCCTTTTTATTCTTTATTTTTTGAGACAGGGTCTTACTAAATTGCTGGGGCTGGCCTCAAACTTTGGAATCCTCCTGTCTCAGCCTCTAGAGTCCCTGGAATTACAGGTATATAACACCACACCCAATTGACCCCAGTACTTTGAGAATATTCATGAGAAGATTAGTATAAATGTGAATTTCTGCTTTTAAAAAGCCATAGCACGGGGCTCACTGTCCCTTCCCTCCAGGCACTTCCTGGATTTCATCATCTTGAATTTACTCAGCCTCCCAAATCACTGGGATTACAAGTGTGCACCACCATTCCTGGCTATGATGCTTCTGTAATTGTTGTAGATGGACAGAATACTTTTATTTATTTATTTTTGTGTGAGATACTGAGAATCAAACCCAGTGCCTCACATGTACTAGGCAAACACTCTGCTGCTAAGTTTACAGCCCCAGCCTCATACCTTTATTTTATTTATTTGTTTTTATGTGACACTGAGGATCAAACCTAGTGTCTCACACATACTAGGCCAAGTGCTCTACTACTGAGCCTAGCCTGATCCTTAATTTTTTGGGGGGGTGTACCAGGGATTGAACTCAGGGGCACTCAACCACTGAGCCACATCCCCAACCCTATTTTGAATTTTACTTAGAGAAAGAGTCTTACTAAGTTGCTTAGTGCCTTGCTTTTGCTGAGTCTGGCTTTGAACTTACAGTTCTCCTCCTGAGCCTTCCAAACTATTGGGATTACAGGCTTATACCACCACACCCAGATTGATCCTTTATCTTTTGATGTATTCTTATGAGCATGTTTTTGGTAGCAATCCTTCTTGGGTATGTTAAAGAGGTTGAATGCTGAGTTTCGGGGAGTTAATTCTTCTTACAGATTTGTCTTTTAAATGTAGACAATGAACATATTCATATTTACTATACAATGAAAAATTTAAAGTCTGGGGATATAACTCAGTGGTAGAGTGCTTGCTTAGCATGTCAAGGCCCTGGATTTGATCCCCAGAAGTGAAAAATAAAAGGCATTGTAAATGAAAGATTTCACTTAAAAAAATGAATAAATAAATAGAAAATTAAAAGCCATAGCATACACCTGTAATCTCAGAGGCTAAGGTAGAAAGATCACAAGTTTGAGGTCAGTCTCAACAACTTAGTAAGACCCTAAGTATCTTAGTGAGAACTTGTCTTAAAATAAAAAAATATTAAAAGGACTGAAGATATAAATCCATGGTAAAGCACCTCCTGGTTAATTCCCCAATACGCTCTCCCCAAAAATTATTTTTATGCCTTTATTCATTTATTTTTTATTTATTTATTTATTAGAGAGAGAGAGAGATATTTTTTTTTTTTTTAAGAGAGAGGAGAGAGAGAGAGAGAGAAGTTTTTAATATTTATTTTTTAGTTTTTTCGGCGGACACAACATCTTTGTATGTGGTGCTGAGGATCGAACCCAGGCCGCACGCAATGCCAGGCGAGTGCGCTACCGCTTGAGCCACATCCCCAGCCCCTCATTTATTTATTTTTAAGTGGTGCTGAGGATAAAGCCCAGTGCCACACATGTACTAGGCGGTCATCCTAGCTCCCCAAAAAATAACTTTTTGACAACCAGCTTTTTGCATATCTAATCCAGTTTGCTCATTGACTTTTATTTTAAAATTAGAGGTTATTTTTCTCAAAATTTTTTGGCTAGAATACTGTAAAATCATAAAGAAGATTTTAGCAAACCAAATATGGTGGTATATGTCTGTAATCCCAGTGGCATTCTTGGGCAGTTTAGCAAGACTCTCAAAATTTAAAAGAAAAGGAACTTGGGATATCGCTCAGTGATAGAGTGCTAGTCTTGCATACACAAAGTCCTGAGTTGAATTTAGAGGCATTGATATAATTTGTGTAAAGAGAGTTAAGACAAGAGGTAGATTTCTGGGATACCTGGGAAGTAAGAAGATCCCAAGAATATTCTCCCAGAATAGTATTATGCAGAGAGGGAGGGCACAAACCAAAAATTACTGGTTTGGGGGCTGGAGCTATAGCTCAGTGGCAGAGCACTTGCCTAGCACATATGAGGCACTAGGTTTGATCCTTAGCTCTGCATAAAAATAAATAAATGAAATTAAAGCATTTAGGACTGGGATTGTGGTTCAGTGGTAGAGCATTTGCCTACTACATGTGAGGCACTGGGTTCAATCCCCAGCACCACATAAAAAAAACTAAATAAAATAAAGGTATTGAGTCCATCTACAACTAAAAAATACTTTTTAAAAAAAGAGAAAAAAAAGTACTTTAAAGAAAAAAAATAATTGGTTTAAAAAAAATTGGTCAGGCAAGTGGATCAGGGGAGAGAGAAGGGGAGGGAAAGGGAAGGTACTAGGTAACGAGATCGATCAAATTATGTTGTGTGTTTGTACAAATGTGGCATAATGACTTATATCGTGATGTATCATTATAATTCACCAAATAAATTTTTTTTTAAATAACATGGTCAGTCTGTCATTTAGCAGAGATGGAGAAGAATAATATATTGGGGGGAACCAGCTCCCAGATAGAGGCACCTGTCATGTTCCTGGGGACTGACTCATCATAGTGTCAGGCATGGGCTGATAGTCTGTGAGTTGCCAAGAAAAGTCCCTGTCTATAGCCAAAGTCAGCAAACAAGGGTTTGTGGGACAGGAAGCAAAATCAGAGATATTTTGTGGGGGATTATATGACAAGAGAAAAATAAATGACCACAAATTTTTAGTGACAAACTTCAAAATATAAAAATATAATAGTTGAGTGCAGGTTTTTGGTAATATAGCTCTATTAACCAGAAAAAAAAATTGTGCTATTATCTGTAAAGGCCATTCATTGTTTGTGTTTATACAAAAATAGATGATTTTATGTTATCTTTATAATCACTACAATTTTAAATAATGAGATTTAAAAAAAAAAAAAAAGATGGTGGACCAGATTTGGCCCATACATCGTAATTTGCTGACCCCTGGTCTAAAGTATCTACTTATCATTTTTATCTACTTTTCATCTACCTTGTCCTAGGACTCATTTTTCTAAGTGAGACCCTACTAATGAAATGCTATGCTTCTAAGGCAGGGGCCTTCAACTGTCCTCCTAAAAGGGAATGCTGAATTTTCTGCTTTGGTCAGAAGCATTTGATTTTTAGCACACACACATAACTTGAAAAGACTTAATGACACTATTATAGGGATTTTCCTTTTTAAATGTTGTAATTTTCTTTTATCCAAAGATTAAAAGAAGCCATAAATACAAGTAAAGAACAGGAGACAAAGTACCAAGCCAGCCATCCAAACCTCAGAAAGCTGGATGATGTAGGTAAGTGGTAAATAAAATAATGTACCAGAAGTATCTACTTCCTAATCCTCAGAACCCATGACTATGTTTGGTTTTAGACAATAGGAGAGTTATGATTATATGTGGAGCTGACTTTCAAAGGGGGAGATTATCTTGGGTTATCCAGTTGGGCCCAAGATCACCCCAAGGGTCCTTCATATGTGGAAAATGGAAGCAAAAGAGAAAATGTCAGCCAGGCACAGTGGTGTACACCTATACTCCCATTTACTCAGGAGGCTGAGGCAGGAGGAATTGCCTGGCCAATTTAGGTAGACCCTATCTCAAAATAAAAAGTTAAAAGAAGTGGGGATGTAACTCACCCCTGAGTTCAATACCTAATACAACAAAAAGAGAATGTCAGAGTAGTGCACCCATGGATTCAATCCCTGATCCAAAATATCTTAAACTTCACTCATTGAAACCCAGGTTAGACTTCCAATCTTCACAACTGAAAGATAAGTTTATGATAGTTTTGTCACAGCAATAGGAGGAGACTAATATAACCTCCACTTCTGTGCAGGAGAAGTAGCAGCATGGGCAACGTGTACAAGGTAGACCTTGTGATATTAATAGGAGTCAGTCTACTGATATCAAATGATAGGCTCAGAAACATATCTGGAAAGGAATTTAGGCCTCCTAGAACCTCTGTGAGCCCCTTGAAAACCACACACATCAAAACAATGGTAGAAATCCCCAAAAAAACTAAATTTGATTAGTGGATGCTGATCTATGATGGGGGGGTGGGAAATGGAGGAACTTTGGATTGGGCAAAGGGGAGGATTGAGAGGGGTTATGAGGAAGGAAAGATGGTGGAATGAGATGAACATCATTACCCTAGGTACATGTATGATTGCACGAATGGTGCCTCTCTATACAGTATACAACCAGAGAATTGAAATGTTGCACTCCATTTGTGTACGATAAATTGAAATGCATTCCGCTGTCATATATAACTAAGTAGAACAAATAAAAATTTAAAAAAATAATGGTGGAATTTAAATACTGACTGTACCTAACTATGCCACTTTTGAGGAAGTCAGGATGCATCCTGACAGCATTAAAACCCATGTAGATCCATGGGCACTCCTGGATTCAATCAGTTTGAGGGCAGGAGGGAGTATAGGAGTATACAGGGTCATAGTTGACATAGCTAAGGAAAGACCTGATAGAAGAAGGACTGGGTTGGGACATACTAATATGGGCACAATTCATTCTAGAAAGGGAGAAACCATGAGAGAAAGTGAAGGTAAAATTAAAATGCAAAGGACCCAAGAAAACCCATGTGGATATCATACACTGAAGAAATAAAATAGTACCCCATACCTGAAAGGGAACTGAAAAAAAATGGACACCATATGTGTAGACTGGCTTCAGTAGGTTAACGTTAGAGGAAAGGAAATACAGTCAGCCCTTCATATTTGTAGGTTCTATATCTGCAAATTCCAAATTTGTGCACTCAAATAATTATCAATCCAGAATATTCTTAAAATTGTGCTGTACTAAATGTGCTGACTTTTAATTCTTGCCATTACTCTCTAAATAGTACAACATAACAACTATTTACATAGCACTTACATTGTATTGTTTTATAAGTAATCTAGAGATTATTTAAAGTATACAGAAGGAGCTGGGTATAGTAGCATACATCTGTAATTCTAGCAATTGGGAGACTCAGGCAGGAGGATAACAAATGGAGGCCAGCCTTGTCAACTTATCAAGATCGTGTCTCACCAGGTTCAGTGGCATGACAGTAATCCCAGCACCTCAAGGGCTGAAGCAGGAGGATTGCAAGTTCAAAGCCAGCCTCAGCAATTTAGCGAGGCCTTAAGCAACTTAGTGAGACCCTGTCTTAAATTAAAAAATAAAAAGGGCTGGGAATGTGCCTCAGTGGTTAAGCAGCCACAGGTTCAATCCCTGGTACCAAAAAAAAAAAAAAAAAAAATAGACCCTGTCTGAAAATAAAAAGGGTAGGGAATGTAGCTCCATGGACACTCCTGGATTCAATCAGTTTGAGGGCAGGAAGGAGTATAGGAGTATAAGGAAATGTGAGTAGGTTATATGCATTTTATATAAGGCATTTTATATAAAGCATCCCTTGTTTTAGCTATCTGTTGAGGATCCTGGAACTAATACGCTATGATACAAAAGGATGACCATACTGTACTGTAGAGAGAGAAATTTCTCCCAAAAGAGGCAAATCAAGGTGACAGGGCTTTTCTGTGTGCCTTTAGGAATTGAATTTCAAGGGCCAGAGGTGTAGCTCAGTGGTAAAGTGCTTACCTAGCATACGTGAAGTCCAGGGTTCAACCCCAGTACTGCAAAATGGAGAAGGGGAAGGAAGCCAGGCCCAATGGCACATACCTATAATTCCCAACAACTCAGGAGGGTGAGGTAGGATGATCACAAGTTCAAGGTCAGCCTAGCAACTTAGCAAGACCCTCAGCAATTGGAAAGACCCTGTCTCACAATAAAAAATAGAAATGACTGGGGTGGTAAAATGTACCTGAGTTCAATTTCTTGCCTTGGAGGAGAAGGGACTGAAGTTTAAGGAACATTTCTTGGGGCAAATGTGCACTATTTAACAGTTCTTTTATGCTTACTTTAAGTAAAAAGCATAGAAATAAATTTCCAAAAGAACAAAAAAATCACTCATAATCCCATTTCTGTAACTTAACTTTGATTCTTTTTTTTTTAATATTTATTTTTTAGTTGTAGTTGGACACAATACCTTTGTTTTATTTATTTTGTTTTTATGTGGTGCTGAGGATCGAACCCAGGGCTTCACACATGCTAGGCGAGCGCTCTACCACTGAGCCACAACTCTAGCACCCCCGTCTCTTTTTATTTTTGAAACAGGGTCTCACTAAGTTACTCAGACTCGCCTTGAACTTGGAATTTCCCTTCCTTAGCCTCCCGAGTTGCTGGGATTACAAGCCTGCACCACTGCAACTGGCTACAACTTTTATTTTTAAACCTTGACTCTCTGAGCACAGTGACATTTGCCTGTAGTCCCAGCTATCCAGGAGACTGGGGCAGGAAAATTGCTTGTGCCCAGGATTTGAAGACAGCGTGGGCTATTTAACAACACCTCATCTCAAAATTTTTGAAAAGCTAAAAGTGGAGCTGAGGGCAAGGGCTGGGGCTGTAGCTCATTTGTAGAGTGCCCGCCTCACATGTGTGAGGCACTGGGTTCGATCCTTAGTACCACATAAAAATTAATAAAGATATTGTATCCAACTTCAATTTAAAAAATATTTTAAAAATAAAATTTAAAAAATAAAAAAGCTAAAAGGCACTGGGGGTGTAGCTCAGTGGTTGAGTGTGTGCTTAGCATGCACAAGGCCCTGGGTTCAATCCCTAGCACCCCTAATTTTTTTTTCCTTTCGATAACTGGGGATTGAACCTGGAGTACATTACCACTGAGCTATATCACCAAGCCTTTTTATTTTTTATTTTGAAACAGAGTCTCACTAAACTACTAAATCTCAGACTTGGAATCCTTGTGCCTCAGCCTTGAGAATCACTGGGATTACAGGTGTACACTACCACACCTACACCTTGTCCATGCACTTGTGTAATTTTTGCCCTGATGCAGTTCCTCTGCCATACAACAGTACTAGTATGAATGTGTCTTCTAGAGTCTGTGTACCCAGGGTTTGTCTAGTTGACCCATGGACTGAGAGTCTTGTTGGGGGGAGATTGTTTTTTGAGAGACAGGGTCTTGCTGTCTTCCTAGGCTGATCTCAAACTTCAGGCCTTAGCCTCCCAAGAAGCTGGTATTATGGGCATGTACCACCACACCCAGCCCATGAGACTGCTTTGGGCTCTTCCCTCGTACGTTGTATCTATTCCCACCCCTATCATTCTATATTGCCTCAGAGCCAGTTACTTCATTCCTTCCAGCCATTTGCCGAATTAAGACCATTTTTATGCCACGGGCAATGGATAAGCCTGTATGCCTAGCTACTCCAGAGGTTGACACAGGAGGATTACACATTTATGACCAATTTGGGCAACTTAACAAGACTCTATCTCAAAAAATAAAAAGGTCTGAAAGTGTAGTTCAGTAGTAGAGTATCCCTGGGTTCAATCCCCAGTATAATGAAAACATAAAAGATACATTTTGTAATAAGATTGAGGAATAGCTCAGAGATAGAGCACTTGCCTACCGTGCTCAAGACCCTGTGTTTGATCCCTAGCACTGCAAAACTAAAGCCAGGTGTGACAGCATACGCTATAACCCCAGTGACTCAGAAGGCTGAGGCAGGAGGCGCACAAGTTCTAGGCCAGCCTAAGCAACTTAGTGATACCATGTCTCAAAATGAAATTTTAAAAGGTGCTGAGTAATGGAGTTTCTTTCAGCCAAAAAGAATCAAATTATGGCTGGCCACAGTGGCACACACAATTTAGCAAGACCCTAAGAAACTTAGTGAGACTCTATTTCTAAATAAAATGTTAAAAGGACTGAGGATATGGCACAGTGGTTAATTGCCCCTGGGTTCAATCCCCAGTAACAAAAAAAAAAAAAAAAAAGAATTCAATCTTTTCACCCATTTACAAGAAAATGGGTGAAACATCATAATGTTAAGCAAATTAAGCAAAACTCAGAAAGTCAAGGGTCAGTCTTATGTTTTCTCTCATATGTGAAAGCTAGAAGAGGACAAAGGAAAAGAAAGATGGGAGGGGGAATCTCATGAAAATCAAAAGGCAATCAATAAAGAAAAGGACCAGGGAAAGGGGGAATACTGGGGAATTATGTTGGCCCAATTATATTGTTACATCATGTACGTGTACAAAGATGTAATAAATCCTATCTTTGTGTATTAATTATAGTGGGCCAATTAAAAATATGGAAAATAATAAAAAGGTGCTGGAGATATAGTGCACTAGTAGAGCTCTCCTTCAATCCCTAGAACCAAAATAAAAAGATCAATTTCATGAAGCAGCATTTCAAAGGATATCAGTTAACCATTCTCCTGATGTTTCTAAATCAGATTCTGTCCTTGGAGGGCCTGGTTCTGCTGTGAATACAGAGGCTTACCCAAAGAACCCACACCTTCGAGCCTATCACCAGAAAATTGACAGCAACTTAGGTAAGACCAAGAGCTGCATCAGCCTCTATAAATCACTTATCTTCCAGGTAGCTCATGCCAAGCACAGCCAGCATACACAAAGCCACCAGTTAGTTGCTCTTTATCCATGTGTTACATGGTCCTGTTCATCTCACCACCTCACTATCTCCAGAATCTATCCACTTGTATTTCCTGCTTTTCTATTTTTTCAATCAACCAAGTCATGCCTTCCTCTTTTTTTTTTTAATTGTCAGTGGACCTTTATTTTATTTATTTATATGCTGTGCTGAGAACTGACTCCAGTGCTTCACACGTGCCAGTCAAGTGCTCTACCTCTGAGCTACAACCCCAGCCCCTGTACCCACCTCTTGGTTGGATCCTGACAGTAGCAGGCCTATATCACAGCCTTGCTGTGACTACTTGCTCCACCCTTCCTATGAAGCCACATGGAGCCCCATTTCCCCCACTATGAAATTGGCTGCCCCTGAGGATTAGTTGCATGAACTGACAATGTGAGCATTTAGGAAAGTGCCTGGGTTGATAAGAGTTGGCAGTCACTTGGCACATTATCCACACTGCTGCCAGAGTGATCTTTCAAAACAGAAATCAGGTGGTACCTTCTTCCAAAGCTCTCTGGTGTATACCCCTGTACACTTGGAACACAGTACAGGCTTATTGCCCTTGCCTCCTCCCCGCAACCCCTCTTTCCCTCACTACTGTTGGCTCCTGTGGACTTTTTTCCCCTTTCTTCCTCACATGCCCATCTTCCTGGAGTGACCTTTCAGGCTAGCCCCTTCTCTCACAGCTAGTTCTGTTTCATTGTGGCCTCCTCTTTTTTTTTTTTTTTTAGCTAGGGATTGAACACAGAGGCTCACACATGCTAGCCAAGCATTCTACCACTGAATTATGTCCCCAACCCTTGACTTCCTCTTATAATCACTCAGAGCCCTGATTTTCTACAGTCCTGCCCATCTACTTGTGGTCCTCTCTGCTGGTTATTGGCTGTCTTCTGAACCACAGAGTTAATTTCAGGAGAGCATGCGAATGTGTCTGTTCTAACACCACTTTATTTACAGGGCCCAGTAGGAACACTTGATGATAACTTTTTTTTTTTTTTTTAATGAGAAGAGAAGTCAGTCATTTGAGGTCCAAATGGAGAGCCATGCTCAAGCAGCAGGAGTTGGCTCATAGACATGAGTTTATTCAAAGATATGTCTCAGATATGCTACCTCCTCTTACCTTTACTACTCAAACAGGAACCTCACCACAGTTATCTGAGTTACTCTCAGTCTCCTGGCCCTTATTAGGAGCTGGCAAAGTGAGTGAGACAAATAATAAAAATTCTCCCTGCTCTAAACTGGAAGGCACAACTGAAACCCATGAAGATGCATGTTGGGTATCTATGCATAGGCTTCTTTTGCTCATTCCCATGAGGGGACAACACCAATGGATTCCTTTCGTTGTTTTTCTATGGTGATGTTCATTCCAGCAGTCTGATCCTATAATATAAATGTCATATTGGTTGAATGAATACTCTTTTTTGTATTATATAAACTGTTTATTTCCTTGTTAGTTTTTTCCTACTTACACTGATATGTCAGAAAGCTTCTCATTACAATGAATTTCTGTTCGTCTTCTCTTCCTCCCTCCCCTCATTTCTTTCTTGGATTACATGATGTCTGCAGTCTTTTTCTTCTTAATGACATTTAACTTTCTTTTTCTTTTCTTTTTTTAGAAGTAAGAGCTAAGTTGCTCAGGCTGGCCCTGAATTGCTGGGCTCAAGGATCTTCCTGCTGCCTCTCAAGTAGCTGAAACTAGTGTGCATCACTGCACCTAACTTAACCTTTGTTTTTGATTCATTATTAGAAAATTAGGTAAATAAGTGCTATGAGGAAAAAAACACCCATAACCCTCCTGTCTGGCAGTGTTTGCTAATTTGGTATAATCCTTCCATTTTTCATGTATGTATGTACACCTGTATCTATAATATCAGATGTACTTGGCATTATGTCAATGTATTTACTTTTTATTTATTTATTTTTTGTTGTTGTAAATGGACATAATACCTTTATTTTATTTATTTTTTATGTGGTGCTGAGGCTCAAATCCAGTGCCTCACACATGCTAGATAAGTGTTCTACCACTGAGCCACAACTCCAGCCGCGTTTTCACTTTTTTTTTTTGTAGTTGTAGAGGGACAGCATGCTTTTATTTTATTTCCTTATTTTTGTATGTGGTGCTAAGAATTGAACCCAGTGCCTCACCCATGCTAGGCAAGCGCTCTGCCACTGAGCCCCAGCCCCAGCCCATATATTTACTTTTGTATCCTGCTTTTTCACTTATGTCTTGAATACTTTCCTAAACTACAAAATTTATTTGAAAAGCACCACTTTTAAAAGTTCCACTCAGGGCTGGGGCTGTGGTTCAGTGGTAGAGCACTTGCCTAGCATGTGCGAAGCACTAGGTTCAATTCTCAGCACCACATATAAATAAATGAATAAAATAAAGGTCCATCAACATCTAAAAAAAAATTTAAAATTAAAAAAAAATAAAATAAAATTTCCACTCTCACCAGGCACAATAGTGCACACCTGTAATCCCACTAAGGCAGGAGGATCACAAGTTTGATGCCAGCCTTAGCAACTTAGCAAGGCCCTAAGCAACTGGGTTCAACCCCCAGTACAAAAAAAAAAATTCTATCCCCTGCTCTTGGACATTATTTTCAATGTTTGCTACCATAAATCATCATTTAGTCATTCCCATGCAGCAGAATTCTGGCCACATTTTGTAGCTTGATTAGTAGAAATAGAGTCAGCAAATATCTCGTTAAGCATTAAAGGAAATGTTTATGTGGAATTGGGGATGTGTTGTGGCTCAGTGGTGGAGTGCTTGCCTGGCATGTATGAGTCACTGGTTCAATCCTAGCACTGCATATAAATAAATAAAACGAAGGTATTGTATTCATCTACAACTTAAATTTTTTTTAAAAAAAGAAACATTTATGCAAAAAAGGACATGAATTTTAGAGAACAGACATAAACAAGAGCAAATAAATAACTTTTTCTGCCACTCACAGCTTACCACTGTTACCTTGGATGAAAATGTAAATTTTTTGTTCTGTTTTTGTTTAGTGAGTTGCCTAGGCTGAACTTGAACTCCTGAGTTCAGGGAGTCTTCCTACCTTAACCTCCCCAGCAGCTGGGATTATAAGCAAGAACCATTATGCCCTGCTTATTGTCATTTCAGATCTCTGTGACCTATGCCATTAGGGAAGTGGTTTTCTTTTTCTTTTTTTATTTTTTTTATTTTTTTAGTTGCACATGGACATATAGTATCTATTGGTGCTGAGGATTGAACCCTATGTCTCACCATAGAAGGCAAGAGCTCTACCACTGAGCTACAATCCCAACCCCAGAGAAGCTGCTTTCAACCCACCAGTAGCAGCCCTCTCCATACCCATAGGCTTCTCCCCTCAACTCCACCCTCCTTCACCCTCAGAGTTCAGAAAAGAACCAGACAGATAGCCACCTCTGGTTTTTTTTTTGTTTGTTTTGTTTTGTTTGTTTATGTGGTGCTGAGGTTCAAACCCAGTGCCTCCCACATGATAGGCAAGTGCTCTATCATTGAGCCCCAACCACAGCCCCCAGATAGCCACCTCTTGATTCTGTCCTCTGGACTTTGCACTCCAGAATAAGATTCTCCAAGACCAAAAATGTGTCTGCCCAGATTTGATCACCCCATAGACACCCAAAGGTGCTCCAAAGCCTCTTTATCCTTTATCAGGAAAAAGAGTACCTTCAGTACCTGCTGGCAAGGATAGGGAGAATGGAAACTGAGGAACTATGCTGAATTCAAGGAGTGAGCAGGATAAGGACTGAGTGCTACCCACCACTGGAGGCTGAAGGTGTACATAGGCACTGAGGACTTGTGACCAGGTAGTCCCCACAGCGTAAAGTATGGAGAACAAAGAACCAAGGCCCAAGTAGGCAACTGGTTCCTCTGGCCAGCTGTCCCAGCTGACACAGGCTATACAGGCACTTTTGTTTACACTCTTTCCTTACCACACCTTCCTCCCATTTCAGGAACTCTTGCCCTTTGACTTATTGCCTGGTAGCTTTGTTTTACCATACTTCTTCCTCCCTTAAATCCAGGAGTATTTACCACAGAACTATATTCCCAGTCCATTTTATTTATTTATTTATTTTTTAATTTTGAGACAGGTTTTCACTGGGTTCCCCAGGCTGACCTTGAACTTGTGATCCTGCTACCTCAATTTCCCAAGTCACTGGGATACAGGCATACACCACTATGCCCAACTACTTTGCCATACTTTTGGCCTCAGCCTACCTGTTTGCCTGTCCTTAGCAGTACCAGATTCCAAGAAACTTTCTGAGGCCTGGGGTGACCATACAGGTTTTACTGTCCATGGAAAACAAATCATGGGTTTCTAGGATCTCAGGAAGCATAGAGCTGAGAGTGTTTGGGGGGGGAAAAAATGATTTTTTTTTTTTTTAATGTTACTGCTAAGTACTTGTGTGTGCTGACCTCTTCACTTAATATTTAATCTTTAATTTTTCAAGAAAGGAGAGTTAACAAAGCACCATCTCTTCTCTCTTACTTTCAGCTCTTTCCTAGCCTGCTATTCACAGTACAAGGGCAGATAGCAGCCCTGGGTGAGTTCTCCACCCCAGTGCACATGCACACACACTATCACAAACCTAGGAAAGACACTTTACAATCTTCCAGCAGAACCAGTTAACATTTATCTCTGCAGTTGGTGCAGAGCTACCAGGGGAAACTAGAATTCCTTGGCATGTCTGCCCCTCAGCCCTGTCCTCAGTTGTCTTCATATCATCTTATACACTCCTAAGCTATGTCCTTATAGACATTATCAATTTTAAAAGTGAATGTTAAGGGCTGGGGTTGTGGCTCAGTGGCAGAGCGCTTGCCTAGCATGCATGAAGGAACTGCACCACATAAAAATAAATAAAACAAAGGTATTCTGTCCATCTACAAAAAATATTTTTTAAAAAAGTGAACGTAAGGCCAGGCACAGTGGCACACGCCTGTAATCTTAGTGGCTCCAGAGGCTGAGGCAGGAAGATCACAAGTTTGAAAACAGGCTCTAAACAATTTAGTGACATCTTGCCTCAAAATGAAAAAATAATAAAAGGGACTGGGATGGTGCTCAGTGGTTAAGTGCCTCTGGGTTAAGTTAGCTGAGCCCAGTGGCCCATACCTGTAATCCTAGCATTTTAGGAGATTGAGACAGAAGAATCACAAATTAAAGGCCAGTCTCAGCAATTTAGGGAGACCCTTTCTGAAACAAAACCAAAAAAATAGCCATATACAATAAGCACACCTATAATCCCAGCAATTTGGGAGGCTGAGGCAGAAGGACCATAAGTTCAAGGCCAGCCTCAGAAATTTAGCAAGGCCCTAAGCAACTTAGCAAGACCATGTCTCAAAAAGACTAGATATGTAGCTCAATTATAAAGCTCCTTAGGCCCCTAATTTCAATCCTCAGTAGCAAAAAATAAATAAAACATAAAGGACTGGGGATGTAGCTAAGTGGTAGAGCACCCCTGTGTTAGGTCCTGAGTACCCCGAAAAAAAGCTTTTTGGAAAACAAAACATATTAACAGTTGTTATCTTGGAAGAGAGGGAGGTGGCTTCTATGTAAACACTTTTTATTGAGTAAACAGATTTTTTTTTTCTCACCTGGACATGTTTGGAATATATAACCAACTTCCTGGAGCTTAGACTGTTTTAGGAGAAAGAGGACTTGACAATCCAGATGTTGCTAAGCAGCTGGGAGGGACTTAGAAGCATTTCCAAGTACTGTGACTGCATTTGCTCAGGCCTGCTTATTATTTCCTTCTCTCACAGATGAACTGTCCATGGGACTAGGCCGTCTCAAGGACATAGCCCTGGGGATGCAGACAGAAATTGAGGAGCAAGATGACATTCTTGACCGACTAACAACTAAAGTGGACAAGTTAGATATCAATATAAAAACCACAGAAAAAAAAGTTCGACAACTCTAGAGAAAGTGTTCCATTCCATTGTGATGAAAAGATTGGAAAGATCTTGTTTTAAATTCTCAAGAAATGTCATGTATTACTTAGTATGTAATTTAATGTGTGTTTACAAATGTTATAACAGAATGGGTCTTAAGAGATTTTTGTTGAGATGAAGAAATGTGTCCTATTTTTTTTTTTTAGAGCCAACACCTGCCTTAAATTCTTTCAGCTGAATAACTGAGAGTTTTTAGTTTGAGCACAGTAGTCTAGCCCTGAATATCTTTGGCCTTTGATTACCATCCTCAAAGTAGGAGAAAAAGTTTCATTTCTTACTTTCATCAGTATATGGGAGGATATTGGCAAAATTTCAGTCTGGCAACCATACCCTGTGTTTCCCTATTTGTTATATTTCTCATTTCTAGGCCTTATGTAAGTCAGAGTGTAAGGGAGGCTGAGACAGGAGGAACCCAATTTCAAGGCCAGTCTCAGTAACTTAGTGAGAACCTTAGCAACTTAGTGAGATCCTGACCCTAAATAAAAAATAAGATTAAAAGACTGCTGTTTATATCTCAGTGGTAAACACCCCTGAGTTCAATCCCAAGTATTAAAAAAAAAAGAAGAAAGAAAGAAAGAAACGTTATGTTCATGGGGGAGGGTCTTTCCCACACCCTTATAATGGAAGTCATTGCACACACCCAATTTTGAGCACATTGTGATTAGATTTTCTCCTCCCCCTAGAAAAATATCAGTGTTAGATCCAGACATATAGTATGGCACATTCTTTGCTCTTTTGTTGACAGATGTCACCTGTTCTCCTACTGAGCTCTGTCATTGGTATACATTTCAATAGGTGGGCTTTAGACCGGCATTGCTCAAGGTGATGCCTGGAATGGGCAGGGAATTGGCCCCTACCTACTCTTAGATTCTCCGTCTGTGGTTGGAAACAGATTCTCCATTGGCTCAAGGACACCTTGCTGACTGACCCAAGGCGTCTGTAGAATTTATGGAAATAGAATATCATACATATGGGCTACCAGTGGTCTTATTCCACTGAGCCCTTCACCCCACTGGGGAATCACCATTGCCAAGTCCTCAGCATAGCAGAGTGTTTATTTGATGCCTGGAGTCCGCTGACTCATCCAAGACTCTCAACCACTCTTCTGTTACTTCCTGCAAGGTGACATTTGAATCATTGCATTGGTTCTCTGTCACCCAGTTTTAGGAATAAAATTCCACAAATGATGCTGACCTTGTATAGAAGGATTTGGCTAAGAAAAAATATAAAGCCGGGTATGAGCTACATTCCCAGCTCACCCTTATCTTTTTAAAAAACAATTAAAATATTTCAATGACGGTAAAAAGTACTGATTTTAATAGTAAGGTCAGAAACTTGAAGTAACAGTGCCTTCCCACTTAAAATGTGGCACCAGCCTGTGGATCCTGTGGCATTTCATGATGCTTTCCTTTATATAGTCTATAAATGAATGTCCCGCAAAGCAAAGGAAGCCTCCTTAAAGTACTTGCTACAGGGCTAGGATTATAGCTCAGTGGTAGGGCACTTGCCTAGCACATATGTGGCCCTGGATTCAATTTCTAACACTACAAAAACAAACAAAGTGTAACAGTGCATTAGTTTTTTTGTTTGGTTTTGGATTTTTTTTTTTAAGAGAGAGAGAGAATTTTTAATATTTATTTTTTAGTTGTTGGCGGACATAACATCTTTGTATGTGGTGCTGAGGATCGAACCCGGGCCGCACGCATGCCAGGCGAGCACGCTACCGCTTGAGCCACATCCCCAGCCCCTGGTTTTGGATTTTTATTTTGAGGTTTTGTTTTGTTTTGTTTTGTTTTGTTTTTTTAACAATATTGGGGATTGAACCTAGAGCCTCATGCACGTTAGGCAAACACTTTCCAACTGAGCTACATCCTTAGCCCACAACTAGCGTCTGTATAGCAATTTGTAAAAGTTTCATCCCACACATTCAAACCTTCCTAAAAATAGTGGCAGCCTGGCTGGAGATGTAGCTGAGAGTTAGAGTGTTTGTCTAGCATGAGAGGCCCCAGAATTGATCCCCAGTGCTGTTGGGGGAAAAAAATGTTTTTCATTTAAAAAATGCAGAACAGATTTTGTATATTTAATACCTCCTAATGGTTTCTGATTTTTTTCCTCTAACACCTTCCTATCATAATGTTTCTCTTTATCACCATCAGGCACAGAGTTGTGGAGATTTTAACCATTATACCTCAGATTTAAGCATTTTTGTTGTTTTAAATAAATACACAGTGGTGCATGCCTGTAATCCCAGTGATTTGAGAGACTGAGGAAGGAGGATTGCAGGTTCAAGGCCAGCAAGACCCTATTTCAAAATAAAAAGGGACTGAGGTGTGATCAGTGGAAGAGGGCCTCTGAGTTCAATCCTCAGTTCCACAAAAAATAAATACATATGTAAACATTCTTCTTAGCAGCCTTCCATTTGCATTATGGAATAAGTAATTCATCTTAGTTGAAGCAAATGAATCTTCTCAATCTTCTCTTTTGTTAGGGTAATGAAACCAATCATTCCCCTTTCTTTTTTTAATATGGGGGATTCTACGCTTTTGCTTTACTTGTTTTCCTCACATTAGAGGGCCTGTTCTTGTTCAGAACCTCTTGTTCTAAAGGCTTTTCCTGAGGGACTGTCCCTATGCTGTTGACAGCTGACTGCTGCTTCTTGCTAAGTCTTCACCTACTCCCTAGCCCATGAAGGACTGGTTGCTGGTGCTACTTTATAAAGCAGAGTTGTTTGTATTTTCACAGAGAATAAAGGAAGACCTGAGGAGGCTCCAGAATCTATCTTTATGATAGATCTTTATGATTGTGATCAAAAAGAAAGAATCCTACCTTTTGGATTAGACACGCAAAGGTGCCATGGCTGGGGCTAATTATGGAGCAGACTTTGGCACCCCAGTCAATATCAATAAACTCATCTTTTTTGCCAGATGGGATCCACAAGATAGATTTTGATTTCCACAGGGGTCTTTTCCACATTGTTTAGGAAAGGAAACCTGAATTTAACTCAAGTGGCAAGAAAAAAATATAGCAGAGATTTTCATTTTTCTTAACTTCTTTTTTGTGAATATGTAATTTTAAGTATACACTACACCAGTTTAGTAAAAATCTTCCACAAGCCTTTCTACAAAATTTTTAAAGTTATGAATGTTGTTAAGTATCTTCAATTATGATGAATGAAATATATACATGTTGATGAGCCAGTCATTGAAAATGCTTATCTTGGTATCATCTTGGGATGGGGACTTTTTTTCAGAATATGTATCAGAACAGATAGTATCCTCCATGCCTTCAACTTAACAAATGAGCATATTCCATAAAATAAAATGTGAAGCTGTTTTTTAACCAAAGTCTGTCTCCTACATAATTATTTTGAAAGAGTTGATGGAGGGGATTCTATTTGTTGAGTCTTGGTACTTGAAGCCACATTTAGAAATCCTTTTACCTATAATCCTCCTGTAATCCCAGCAACCCAGGAGGCTGAGGAAGGAGAATCACAAGTTCAAGACGAGCCTGAGCAATTTAACAAGACCTGAAAGAAATGAAAAGGCCTGGGGTTGTAGCTTAGTGGTTAGAGCACTTACCTAGCATGTGTGAAGCCTGGGTTCAATCCCCAATATCTCATACACACAAACACACGGGGAAAAAAAAAAAAACAACTTTGATGTCATCAGCTCTTTCAATCTGTCTTCTATCTCCTGGTCCCTCTGTAGCAAGACCAAGACCTAGCAAACTTCTGAGGTTTTTTTATTGTTATTTCATTTCCTAATAATCTGTTTCAGTAAGTGGTACCAACTCTCAGCCTCCTAATTCCCTGGGATTATAGCCGTGTGTGCCACCATGCCCCATTCTTTTGGGGAAGGGTACTAGGAATTAAACCATTGAGCTACATCCCCAGCACTTTTTATTTTGTGACAGGGTCTTGCTAAATTGCTGGGGCTGATCTGTTGTAGTTGGACACAATATCTTTATTTTGTTTTTATGTGGTGCTGAGGATCGAACCCAGGGCCTCACACGTGCTAAGCAAGCACTCTACCACTGAGCCACAATCCCATCCCCACATCCCCAGCCTTTTTTAAAATGTTGTTATGAGACAGGGTCTCACTAAATAACCAAGGCTGGCCTCGAACTTTCAATCTTCCTTCCTCAGCCTTTCCAGAAATTGGAATACAGGTATGTGCCACCATGTCCAGCAGACTGGGTACTTTATAAAGAATAAAGGTTTAGCCAGACATGATGGCACATTGCCTGTAATCCCAGCAACTCCAGAGGCTGAGGCAGGAGAATCACAAGTTTGAGGCCAGCCTCAGCAATTTAGCAAGGCCCTAATTGCCATTAATGAGATCCTATCTCAAAATAAAAAAGAGCTGAGGATGTGGCTCAGTGGGTAAGCACTCCTGGGTTCAATCCCCAGTACCAAAAAAAATAATTTTTTTTGATAAAGGTTTATTCAGCTTATGGTTCTGGAAGCTAAGAGATATGAGGATGAGAGGGACCACCAGTTACTGAAGGCCCTCTTGCTAGTGGAGATTCATGATTTAGCAACCTCTATAAAGGACCAGAGACTAAATGTTTTAGGCCCACGGGCCAAATGGTCACTGTGGAAACTGACTCTGCCATTGTGCAAAAGCAGCCAAAGACAATAAATTGAGAGTGGCTATGTTCCAGGATGTGATTGGAGCTTGAGGCATGCGGGCTAGAGAGCCTGCAGAACCACGACCTGTAACATCAGAGGGTTCGATCCTCAGTACCATATAAAAATAAATAAATAAAATAAAGGTATTGTGTCCATCTACAACTAAAAATTTTTTTTTTAAATGGCCTCCAATAAAACTACATTGCAAAATATGGGAACAAAACAGAAATGAAAAGAGTAAAAAAGTTGAAGAGGTAGAGCCTAAAGAATTTGTGGTAGAAAAAGTACTAGCCTGGGGGCTGGGGATGTGGCTCAAGCGGTAGTGCGTGGCTCATGCGTGCAGCCCGAGTTCGATCCTCAGCACCACATACAAACAAAGATGTTGTGTCCACCGATACTTGAAAAATAAATATTAAAAAATTAAAAAGAAAAAGTACTAGACTGATGTGTAGTTAACGGAAAAGTGGAATATTTCCTGAAGTGAAAGGGATTTATAGTTGCTGACAATACTTGAAAACCTGAAGAAAATTTAGATTGCCAGAGTTAATTGAAGCATTTCTTAATTCTCAAAAAACTGGTAAAGAAAAAGATGGTACCAAAAGAAAATCTTTATCTGACAGTGAATCTGATGATAGCAAGTTAAAGAATAAAAGAGATGCCACTGACAAACCAAGAGGCTTTGCCAGAGGTTTTGATCCTGAATAAATAATTGGTGCCACAAATAGCAATTGATGTTTCTCATGAAATAGAAAGATTCAGATGAGGCAGACTTGGTGCTGCAAGGAAGCAAATATGAAGTGTTCTCAAATTATAATTGCTTTTTATGAAGAGAGACTAACTTTGACATTCTTGTCCAGAACATGAAGCTCAATAACTGTTCGCATTGTTTTATATATATATATGTGTGTGTGTGTGTGTGTGTATACACACATAAATATATAAAACTGGGCCTTGATTTTTTATTTACTAGCATGAAAAAATACATTCTAAAGAAAATCAAATTTGAGATGTTGATTTTGAAAGTAGTATTGGGAAATTGTTGTGTTTTATTTTTTTGTTTTCCATCAGTAGCACTGGTTACTTTGAAGGTATAAAAGCTTTCTGTAGTTGCTTCCTTTATCAAAGAAAAGGATTTGATATGATGGTATATTTCTCTGCTTTTCTAAAAGTTGAAGAAATTTTCCATAGGCATTACTCATAACTTGTTTTTAATTCATATGCCTAAGAACCATTCTGGGGGTTTTGTTGATTTGTTTGTGCATGCATGTGTGCGTATGTACATAAAATACTTACATAATGGTTTTTGTTTTTTAAACTTTTACCAAAACAAAAACAATGGGTGGTAAATCCATGTTCCTGAGATGCCATCATTCTCTGCAACCTAAGAAATAAATCACTACACGTTAAGACGAAATTTTCCTGAAACCATAACCCTTAAGATTAAATAAATGATTCTGTAGTTAATTGGACAGTTTAAAATGGATAGTTAAAAGCAACCACATTAAATTTACATCTATCATCACATAAACACAACAGTTTTATTTGCAAAATTCCTGAAAGGAAAAATACTATCACTATCAACAACTTTTACACCCAGACAAGTAAACTAGACAAATCTTAGTTTGTCTTAATTAGCAAGACTTAAGTGGACATGTTAAGGGTTCCTCTAGTTAGCCATTCCTTTTTTAAAAGTTTAGAAATCTATGTACTCATAATTCATGGAATGTCTTAAGATTTGGCTCATTGAAAACTGATCAAATGGCTGGAGATGTTGGCAGTTGACAACCTGATCACATAAATGAGTGAGGAAGTTTTTTATAGTCTAAATTATTGACCTGTTTATTCCTTACATGTAGGTTCAATCTTTTCAGTATTTGGATTACTGGTTCAGCACAAGCCAGGAAAGTAGCTTTGTAGTAATCAGAATGTTACCCAACTCTATATTGTTTACTTTATTGTAAATACTGGTAAACATTATATTCCTTTAATAGTAATAAATAAATAAAATACAAAATAGAGTTGGGGATCTGGCTCAGTGGTCAAGTGCCCCTGAGTTCAATTCCTGGTCCCCCCCGCACCAAAAAAATGGAATAAATAAAAATTTAAAAAATTAAAATCACCTTTACATTAATGAAGAGGACAAGCCATGAATAGGCTAAAGAAGACTTTGGAAGCAGTCCAGGTAAGAACCAGTACAGTGGCACATGGCTATAGTCCTAGCTACTCAAGAGGCTGACTCACAAGTTGGAAGCCAGCCCAGGCAACATACCAAGAGCTGTCTCAAAAACAGAAAGGAATTGTCCAGATAAGGATTGAAAGAAGGCCCAAAACTAGAGTGGCTACAAGACGGGAAGACGGGTAGGTGGGTTCCAGGCTTTAATGATTGATTTGCCAATGAGGGATAATGAGGCAGGTTTGGAAGATAGCAATTCAGGTTTCTGCTCAAAGAATTACTATCAAGCCATGCTTATTTTACTAAAGAAGTGAAACATAAAAACATGAGCAACTTTGGGATTAGGGGCAGAGGAAAATGAGGGATTAAATATTGGACATGTTGAGTTTGAAGACCTTTGGGAAATCCAGATGGATACCAAGTGCTGAGTCAATGATTACACAAAACAGGCCCAAGTGGAACTTAAACACCCTCATGGGAGAGAAGACAATGAAACAAGCAAGAAAATTAATAGAATGTTAAAATTGACCAAGTAGGTCTGGGGCTTGAAAAAGATGTGGCAGGGCTGGGGTTGTAGCTCAGTGGTAGAACACTTGCCTAGCATGTGTGAGGCACTGGGTTCCATCCTCAGCACCACATAAAAATAAAGTATTGTGTCCATCTACAACTAAAAAATATTTTTAAAAAATTAAGAAAAAGATGTGGCAAGGACTTGGGAATTGTCAGAACCTGGGTGGTCAGTTAGCACATATGTGAAAGATACTGACTGGGAGCATGAGAAAAGAGCTAAGACAGAGTCCTGGACATACATAATGTGGAGAACAGGCTATTGTTCCATGAAGAATAGAACAGTAGTTTTCAGGCTGTACCTAACCCTGAGTTACTCCATTTTATAAGACAGTAGTTTGCTGTGAGTTCTCCATTTTGAGTATAAGTACTGAGATAGAAATGATTCTGAACCTTGTCTGTACAAGGAACTACTATCTGCTTAGCACAACTATATGGCACAAATTGATATATAATGTATTGTGCTAATAAAAATGACAATCTATAAACTTATCAAATAAAATCAGAAGCACATGGATGCATGAGAGTATCAAATTCATATCAGAAAAAGTAGGCCCACAAATTTATCAAATATACCAGATTACTGAATAAAGCAACTTCCTCACCCCAGACCCATGAAAGGAACAGCACCCCAAGAGTGGACACAACCTCTCCCCGACCCCATCACCTGGTCATTTGTCATGAGCCTTGCCCAGGAAAATCACCAAAGGGATGAACCTCTCATTCCATCCCCTAGCTTCAGCTCAACCAAATTTTCCTGCCCTTGACAACACATAGCCTGTTCCAAGGAGACACTCTGAAACTGCAGTCTGTCTGGACCCTCTACTGGAACTGGTTCATTAAAAACTTTATCTTGTACAGTGGTACAATCCTGTAATCCAGTGACTCACAAGGCTGAGGCAGGAGAATCGAAAGTTCAAAGCCCACCTTAGCAATTTAGTGAAACCCTGTCTCAAAACAAAAAGGGCTGGGGG